TTTGTGCTTACCTGAATAAACTTACTTATTTACTTACTTCTATTCTGTTGACTGAGTACAAAAAACTGCCCATTCACATGTTTCAACTACCCAATAAAGTGGTCATATAAATTGGCAATTTGGCCAATTTCACACAAATTTCAAAAGATGCCAATTTCAAAATAGGGGTCCAGAATAAACAATGCAGACATTCTCTGTTCATTAGTCATGTCTCCAGGCCCCTCTTATATTACTCTTGCTTTCCATTTTGAATTTTTAGTGTTATGCAGACTACTGCATTATTGTAATAATTGTATAAATAATGTCAACCCATTCACAAGTGCTTATCAGACTGGCCAATTGGACATGTACTGGACAGTGACATCATTTGTTTACTCTTGAACACGGCAAAAATCAAACATTTCCGCTATTTTGAGCTCGATTTCAAGGTACTTCTTGTCGTGAAACCAATCAAAATCACATCTATTTCTGTAATATATCTTCCATTCTATCAAATGGGACCAAAAAAACGAGAATACAACCATAAAAACCATACAAAAATGTACTGCTAAGGGGTGGCTAATGACTGAAAAATGAACTCTGTTATTTATTGTCCAATTTCTTTCGTTTTTGGAGTACGTTAAGAAGCACCTTTCCATCATACGTTGCCCGAGTTTCAATAAGATAGCCCAACAAAAAACTGAGAAAAATAATATTTACCAAAAATCATATATGGCAAGCCCAAGCCAGGTACTGAAATAAATCAGTGAATTTTTTTGGGTTATCCTAGGTTCTCTAAACATGCCACTCTGTATGATAATCTATGTAGAGAAAATAGCTTTTTCGTTTCAGTTTAATGGTGCATTATGAGTGTGTATCAGTTAGCCCTGTGCTACACCCTGTTTTTTCTAATACAAGCACCCATGACAGGGATAGAAGGATGGTACTTGTATCCCAAATCCTCCTCATAACTCCATTGAACCGCTTAATATAATGCCAAATATTATTCATTCTGGAGTATTTACCATGATTTTATGTTATTTATATTGTTTAGTATGTCATATTAGATCAATTGTTATAGGTAAATAAGCTGTAGTGGTTATATTAGCATAATAATAAAGCATATTCCCATGCACTGAGACTGAGCTCATGGCAACCAACAATGGCATCAAAGCCACTTTAACTTTTATGGACAATGTACTGTGTATGTGCTTTACACAACAAGAAGCATTTCTTTTATTTGTTGGAACCATGCCTAGGGCTAAAAGTAGTCAGCTTATAACAAAAAATGGTGAAAAAGAAATTGGAAAGACTTATGTAGCAAGTAGCACCACCAAACAGTAGCAGCAGGGTGGTGTGGCAACCCTGAAAATTTGAAATTATGCAAGCTGAGATTAGTGCCAGATTACTGATGGAACTGGATGACTGACTGCCAGATTAGTGATGGCTAACCTGTACTTCCCTGGCTGGTTGCTATCAACCTACTAATTTATTTCACAAAAAACAGTGTAGAAGTTTTCTGTCACTACAATGCATATGATGCTACATGTTAATAGACTAAAATCCTAAATAAAAACTCAGTTATTAAAACTTGCTTAATTAGGCCTGGGTAGATGGCATCTGATGCTGGTGTTTGATGTAATATAGAATCTATTCTTCCTTGGATGGGGTGCATGACACCACATCAGGACAATATGCCCCAAAGACTATTATAAATTTAATACTTAATCTTTTTTTTTTTTTTAAACACGTCAGCCATCTCCCACAAAGGCAGGGTGACCCAAAAAGAAAGAAAATCCTCAAAAAGAAAGAAAATACCTTCATCATCATTCAACACTTTCACCTCACTCATACATAATCACTGTCTTTGCAGTGGCGCTCAGGAATGACAGTTTAGAAGTGCCTCCAAACTGCCAATATCCCAAACCCCCTCCTTTAAAGTGCATTTCCAAGGCTCAAGTCCGGCTAACAGGTTTCCCTGAATCCCTTCACAAAATATTACCCTGCTCACACTCCAACTGCTCATCAGGTCCCAAAAACCATTCATCTCCATCCACTCTTATCTATCATGCTCACGCACGCTTCCTGGAAGTCCAAGCCCCTCGCCCACAAAACCTCCTTTATCCCCTCCCTCCAACCTTTTTGAGGATGACCCCTACCTGCCTTCCTTCCCTACAGATTTATATGCTCTCCAAGTCATTCTACTTTGATCCATTCTCTCTAAATGATCAAACCACCTCAAAAACCCCTCTTCAGCCTGCTGACTAATACTTTTAGTAACTCCACACCTCCTCCTAATTTCCACACTCTAAATTCTCTGCATAATATTTACACCACACACTGCCCTTAGGCAGGACATCTCCACTGCCTCCAGCCAGCTCCTTGATGCAGCAAATACAACCCAATCTTCATACCCATATTAGAGTGTTGGTACCACTATACTTTCATATACAGTGGACCCCCGGTTAACGATATTTTTTCATTCCAGAAGTATGTTCAGGTGCCAGTACTGACCGAATTTATTCCCATAAGGAATATTGTGAAGTAGATTAGTCCATTTCAGACCCCCAAACATACACGTACAAACGCACTTCCATAAATACACTTACATAATTGGTCGCATTGGGAGGTTATCGTTAAGCGGGGGTCCACTGTATTCCCTTTTTTGCCTCCATGGATGCCGTTTCTTTTCCCCACAGATACCTAAACACATCACCCACCTTTTTTTCTTCATCAATTCTATGGTTAACCTCATCCTTCATAAACCCATTTGCTGACAAGTCAACTCCTAAATAACTGAAAACATTCACTTCTTCCATACTCACTCTCTCTCCAATGTAATATCCAATATTTCTTTATCTAAATTGTTGGATACTCTCATCACCTTACTCTTATGTATGTTCACTTCCAACTTTCTACCATTACACACCCTTCCAAACTCATCCACTAACCTTTGCAACTTTTCTTTAGAACATCCCAAAAGCACAGTCTCATCAGCAAAAAGTAAATGTGTCAACTACCATTTTGAATTTGATTCCCCATAATTTAATCCCACCCTTCTCCTGAACACCTTAGCATTTACTTCTTTTACAACCCCATTAATAAATATATTAAACAACCATGGTGACATTACACATCCCTGTCTAAGACCTACTTTTACTGGGAAGTAGTCTCCCTCTCTCCTACACACCCTAACCTGCTTCCTGCCATGTCCCTACTACCCTACCTCTTACCCCCTCAACCAGCACCCTGTCAGTCCGTCACTCACTCAGTCATTGTCCAGTTACAATATTTTACGCTGTTTTCATGTGTTTTATGATTGTTCGTGATTCAACAGGCTAAGGAAACAGTATTGTTAGGCAATTATTATAGTTCCCTACAATATATTTGTACATCAAAACATTCGCAAATGCTACAGTACAGTATTATTATATTTCCCTACATCATATTTGTGCACGAAACATTCGTGAATTTTCAAGATTCGTGAGGTTCTTGATCCCCTAACCCTCACAAATGTAGAGGGCCTCCTGTATGCTTCAATGTAAACACTTGATCTACACATCCCCTACCCACTCTAAAGCCTCCTTGCTCGTCTGCAATTCTACTCTCTGTCTTACCTCTAATTCTTTCAATAATAACCCTACTGTACACTTTACCTGGTATACTTAGTAAACTTATTCCCCTATAATTTTTACAGACTCTTTTGTCCCCCTTCCCTTTATATAAAGGAACTATACACACACACTGCCAATCCCTAGGTACCTTCCCTTCTTACATACATTTTTTTTTTTTTTTAACAAGTCGGCCATCTCCCACCGAGGCAGGGTGACCCAAAAAAAGAAGAAAGAAAATCCCCAAAAAGAAAATACTTTCATCATCATTCAACACTTTCACCTCACTCACACATTATCACTGTTTTTGCAGAGGTGCTCAGAATACAACAGTTTAGAAGCATACACATATAAAGATACACGACATATCCCTCCAAACTGCCAATATCCCAAACCCCTCCTTTAAAGTGCAGGCATTGTACTTCCCATTTCCAGGACTCAAGTCCGATCATATGAAAATAACCGGTTTCCCTGAATCCCTTCACTAAATATTACCCTGCTCACACTCCAACAGATCGTCAGGTCCCAAGTACCATTCGTCTCCATTCACTCCTATCTAACACGCTCACGCACGCTTGCTGGAAGTCATTTATTAAACAAAAATACCAACCACTCCAACACTATATCACCCCCCTTGCTTTTAACATTTCTGTCATGATCCTGTCAGTTCCAGTTGCTTTACAGGATCATGAAAAAAAAACTTTAATCTTATCAGTACAAAATATGCAGAAAGAGTAACAAGAAAAAATTATACTTTAAGTTTTATGTTTCTTTTGCTTGTAGATATACAAGTGTTTGGAGATGGTTATATAGCTAAACTGATTTTATAATTCTGTCTTACCAGAAGTGCACTGATATTACAGCTCAGATTGACTCTCCAAATTGTAACATCCCCACCTCTCCTTCAGAGAGCAGACACTACTCCCCACCTCCAGGAATCGAAGTCCAACAAACCAGTTTCCCTGAATCCCTTCATAAATGTTACCTTGTTCACGCTCCAACAACACATCATATCATAAAAATCACTTGCCTTCACTCAATCACACAAGCCTGTTAGCACTCAAAACCTCCTCTACTCCCTCCCTCCAACCTTTCTTAAGATAACCTGTACCCCTCTTTCCCTCCAACCTTTCCTAGGATGACCCCTACCCCTCCTTCTCTCCACCCACATTCATATGCCTCCTTGTCATCTCTTTTTTCCATCCTCTCTAAATGTACAAACCACCTCAACAACCCCTTCTCAGTCCTCTGAATAATAGTTTTGGTAACACTATGCCTCCTCATAATCTCCAAACTCCAAATTCTCAGCAGAAAGAAAAACCATAAAAGATAAAGATAAATACCAATTAGAGGATCACTTCATATAAGTAAATCTGAAAGCATAAATTTTGCTTATAATAATAATATTACCTCCTCAATGAGTTGATTAACTTCATCTTTTGTAGAAAAATCTCTGTGACACAAAGGGCAACAGTCACGTAGTTTCAGCTTGTCTGTGAACCGAGTGAGTACAGTAATGGAACTTGATAAATCTCCCCTGTCACGCTGAAAAAAATAATTAATTTGTTTAACTGCAAAATAATTCATAAGCCTCTACTTAAAATTAAGTAAAATACATCAGTCACTACCAGTGCTGGGCACAGTTACGCTAATCTGCTAACCGCTAATTTGCAGAACTAACTTTTTGTTTAGCAGATTAGCATTTCCGCTAACTTCGGAAACTGTTAACAGACCAATTAGCTTCCACTAAATAAAGTTCCGCTAACTTTGAGTCTGCTAAAAAAAAAAAAAGAAATCATACGTTGGTAGTTGGAAAGCAATGCCTTTTTAATGGCGCACGTGTTTCTTCCTGTCTGTTGTGGGCGTTTCTCCAAGTCAGTCAGGCATGCTATTAGCTGACTACGTGTAAACATAACTTGTCAACACAGCAGCAGCAGCATCTGAACAGCATTATTATAGTCTTACAGTGTCAGTGATCACCGGGGTGCATTGTCATTTATTGTTATAAACAGGGGAGACGTTTATGTTCTGCCTGAGAGTGTTGTAAAGGGTCTACAGCGACTGTGGTTGAAGCAGAGGCCGCTCAGGCTGAGGGCCAGGAGTTGCAGAACCCACGGCCCCACCTGGATGACTATTTTGTCCTGAAGTCAAGGGATACAGAGAACGCCAATATTTTGTACTTCCTGTGCGTCATGTGCCAGCCCAACAGGGTGACGACACAGCTGAAGCTGCAAACCTTCACTGATCCTGAGGTTGGCTTCCTGACACAGTAAGCTCAGGGGGTGGCCTATGTTACCAAGGCCTTACATAAGATCCAGGAGAAAGACCAGGCCTATCTCAGGAGCCTTCTGCCAACTATAGCAGCTACCATCATGAAGCTGAAGGAGGTAAAGTCAAAACGTCTCCTGTACTGCAGTCCTCTGGTAGATGCAATCCTGGCAGGAATTGCAAAAAGGTTTGGGCTCCTCCAAGAAGACCAGGAATGCCAGCTGGCCGCTGTCTTGCACCCCAGGTTTCGCCTGCTGTGGCTGGAGCAGTATGACAACAGCCAGATCAGCAAAGTGAGGAACACAATGGAGACCGTCATGGAAGCAGCCATAATGGAGATCAGTTCCGAGAGCAGCAGCACCAATAACGAGGATGATGATGACTTCAGCAGCATCACTCAGTTCCGAGACAGCAGAAGCCACAGGTCACTGAAGTCAAAGGCACAGAGCATGGTGAAAACCTGGCTGGAGACCGGCTCGAAGGAGGTCACGAGTGAAGTTGCTTTCTTGGGTAAGCAGGTCTTGATCAACCTATTCATTAAGTACAACACCGCCATCCCATCCAGTGCTGCAGTTGAGAGCCTATTCTCTATACATAAAGATATCTTGAGGGCCAAGAGAGCCACCCTGTCACATGGAAACTTTGGAAGGCTGATGCTCATGAAGGGCAACAAGCATCATATCAAAGCAACTGAGAAGGCCCAGCCAGTATAGTAATCAGCCCAGCCATCATCTGATCTTGACATGATACCCATGCTATGCATTTTGTACAGTAAATAAAGTGTATGTTGGATTTAAACTGATGTTTGATTTCATTTGTTCATTTATCTATTTGGGTGCACCTGTATGGCTGTATTGCTGGTGCAGCGATAAGTTGGCCTCAAGGTTTCAACTTCAAACACGATTTTCAACTACTTGTTTTTAGTTTACTAGGTTCAAAATCTATATTAACTTAAATGCAAACATGAACAGAAATATAATATAATGAACGAATACAAGGAGTAACTGGAACTAATGAAGAAAACAGTCAAATAAGCTAACTCAATCCGTACAGGTGCTATGGGGTTTCAGTACACAGACAAGTGTGTCCTTGTCGGTCGCTCACATTACATCACAAAATTAAACAATCGCAATTTTCCCATTAGCAGCACTTGATCATCATATGACCTTGGCTTTCTATATCTTAACAGGAAGCTCTCCAGGTCTGTTCTAAAAGTCTTAAAAGTAAAAGTTAAAGACCAAAAAATTATACCAAATCTGAATTAATGTGAAAAAGTTAGCGGTTAGCGCTAGCTTCCGCTAATTTCTTCAGCCATTTAGCGGTTTAGCATTATCGGAGCTAATTTTTTAGTTAGCGGATTAGCGGTTAGCGAAGCTAATTTTTCAGTTAGCTGTGCCCACCACTGGTCACTACACAAAGGAAGACAGTAATGATATCTATCAGGAAGAATATATTACAGCAATGTTTTCTTCCCTGGCTTGAAGAATACATTACATTATAATTTCTTTTAACCGATTTAAAATACACAGTTTGTAATCTTCCTATTTGCTGTAAGCTTGGGAGTAGCTACTTTTAATGGAAACAGCAGTAACTAAGAGAGAATGTTCTGGAAAAAAATAAACCTAAGAAAAAACTACACGAGAGCAAAATTACTGGGTCAAAATGCTAAAATATCTCTAGTTCCAACAAAGAATACTTAAGTCTATGTCTAACAGTGCAATATCACTGCACATGAATTTAAAGTGATGGAGAAACTCTTGATTAACAGTGATAATTCATAGGCACAAACACCTAAATAACAGTCATATTAGTACTGTACAGTACTTGATTCTACTTACTGTTAATTCATCCTTAACTTTCTTGGACTTCTCCAAGGCAATATCCAGGTCTTTTCCTTGACACATGGTGTAAATATTGGTCTCAAGATCTGCAAAGTAAAGGAAAAATTGTAAATAGTATAATCTTATGTATTATGTACTGATATTTTTTTTTTTTTCAACAAGTCAGCCATCTCCCACTGAGGCAGGGTGACCCAAAACTAAAGAAAATTCCAAAAAGAAAATATTTTCATTATCATTAAACACTTACTCCTCACTCACACATAATCACTGTCTTTACAGAGGCACCCAGATACAACAGTTTAGAAGCATATATAAGGATATGTAACATACCCCTCCAAACTGCCAATATCCCAAACCCCTCCTTTAAAGTGCAGGCATTCTACTTCCCATTTCCAGTACTCAAGTAAGGAAATATTACCCTACTCACACTCCAACTGCTAGTCAGGTCCCAAAAACCATTCATCTCCATTCACTCCTATCTAATACACATTAACATGCTTGCTGGAAGTCCATGCCCCTCCCCTACAAAACCTCCATTACCCCCTCCCTCCAACCTTTTCGAGGACGACTCCTACCCTGCCTTCCTTCCCCTACAGATTTATATGCTCTCCAAGTCATTCTACTTTGATTCATTCTCTCTAAATGACCCAACCACCTCAACAACCCCTCTTCAGCCCTCTGAATAATACTTTTAGTGACTCCACACCTCCTAATTTCCACACTCCGAATTCTCTGCATAATATTTACACCACACATTGCCCCTTTTTACCTTCATCAATTCTATGGTTAACCTCGTCCTTCATAAACCCATCCACTGACAAGTCAACTCCCAAATATCTGAAAACATTCACTTCTTCCAGACTCTCTTTCTCAATGTGATATCCAATTTTTCTTTATCTAAATCATTTGATACCCTCATCACCTTACTCTTATCTATGCTCACTTTCAACTTTCTACCTTTACACACCCTCCCAAACTCGTCCACTAACCTTTGCAACTTTTCTTTAGAATCTCCCATAAGCACAGTATCATCATCAAAAAGTAACTGTGTCAACTCCCATTTTGTATTTGACTCCCAATAATTTAATCCCACCCCTCTCCCCAACACCCTAGCATTTACTTCTTTTACAGCCCATCTATAAATATATTAAACAACCATGGTGACATTACACATCTGTCTAAGACCTACTTTTACCGGGAAGTAATATCCCTCTCTTCTACACACCCTAACCTGAACCTCACTATCCTCATAAAAACTCTTTACAGCATTTAGTAACTTACTACCTATTCCACATACTTGCAACATCTGCCACATTGCTCCTCCATCCACTATCATATGCCTTTTCTAAATCCATAAATGCAATGAAAACTTCCCTACCTTTATCTAAATACTGTTCACATATATGCTTCAATGTAAACACTTGATCTACACATCCCCTACCCACTGTAAACCTCTTTGCTCATCTGCAATCCTACGCTGTCTTACCTCTAATTCTTTCAATAATAACCCTACCGTACACTTTTCCTGGTATACTCAGTAAACTTATTCCCCTATAAATTTTACAATCTCTTTTGTCCCCCTTCACTTTATATAAAAGACCTATACATGCTCTCTGCCAATCCCTAGGTACCTTCCCCTCTTTCATACATTTATTAAACAAAAATACCAACCACTCCAACATTATATCCCCCCTGCTTTTAACATTTCTGTCATGATCCTGTCAGTTCCAGCTGTTTTACCCCCTTTCATTCTACGTAATGCCTCATTAACCTCCCCTAAACTCACATCCTGCTCTTCTTCACTCATAAAAGATGGTATACCTCCCCGGCCAGTGCGTGAAATTACCGCCTCCCTTTCTTCGTCGATATATAAAAGTTCCTCAAAATATTCCCGCCATCTATCCAATGCCTCCAGCTCCCTATCTACTAACTCCCCTACTCTGTTTTTAACAGACAAATCCATTCGTTCCCTAGGCTTTCTTAACTTGTTTATCTCATTCCAAAATTTTCTCTTATTTTCATTAAAATTTCTTGACACTGCCTCTCCCAGTCAATCATCTGTTCTCCTTTTGCACTCTCTCACCACTCTCTTCACCTTTCTTTTAGTCTCCATATACTCTGCTCTTCTTGTAACACTTTTGCTACCTTTTTCTCTTATCACACCAATTACTTCATCATTCCACCAATCACTCCTCTTTCCTCCTGCACCCACCCTCCTATAGCCACAAACTTCTGCCCCACATTCTAATACTGCATTTTTAAAACTATTCCAACCCTCTTCACAAACTTCTGCCCCACATTCTAATACTGCATTTTTAAAACTATTCCAACCCTCTTCAACTACTCCCCCCCAGTACTCATATTTGCACTAGCCCACCTTTCTGCCAATAGTTGCGTATATCTCACCCTAACTTCCTCCTACCTAAGCTATTAAAATTATTTTCCAAAACTGAGAAATAGCAAAAATTGTTTGTGTTGTCCATGTGATAAAGTTTGTTTGAGAAACTAACATCTAACTTGAAATCAGGCTTGATTAAACAGGGAGAATTTCTCCTCTGCTGAGAAAGCAATGCTACTGTTTTACAGGAAGACCTAGCTTGGCTCCTTACTGAACTCAGCCTCCACATGCTGCTAGTTGCCTTTTGGATGTGTACCATACTATACGCTTTCCATTTCATTTTCCATATCTGAATCACCCCATCTTATCTCTGGATATTAACCATGGCACCAAAAAGGAATATTACTGAAGAAGATGGTTAAGTGTGGAAAGTATGACTTTTATCGGGGGGGGGGGGGAGAAAACAAACAGTGATAGATATGCTTAAAGGTGGTGCTAGGGTCATACGATGGCATGTGTGTTTGGCATTAGAGAATCAACAATTCATTCAAAGCAAAACACAGGTTTAGAAAAGATCATAGCAATGAGTAATCCTGATTGTGGACTGCTGATTAACAAGAAAATTTAACCCATAAACCGTCCAAACATGTATATACGTTCACTACCCCAGTGCCTCGAATATTTAAAAAAAAAAAATAATGAAAATAAAGAGCACATTTTTCTAAGTGTTTTTTTTTTTTTCAACAAACCGGCCGTATCCCACCAAGGCAGGGTGGCCCAAAAAGAAAAATGAAAGTTTCTCTTTTTAAATTTAGTAATTTATACAAGAGAAGGGGTTACTAGGCCCTTGTTCCCAGTATTTTAGCCGCCTCTTACAACACGCATGGCTTACGGAGGAAGAATTCTGTTCCACTTCCCCATGGAGATAAGAGGAAATAAACAAGAACAAGAACTACAAAGAAAATAGAAGAAATCCCAGAGGGGTGTGTATATATATGCTTGTACATGTATGTGTAGTGTGACCTAAGTGTAAGTAGAAGTAGCAAAACGTACCTGAAATTTTGCATGTTTAAGAGACAGAAAAAAGACACCATCAATCCTACCATCATGTAAAACAATTACAGGATTCCGTTTTACACTTACCTGGCAGGACGGTAGTACCTCCCTGGGCGGTTGCTGTCTACCAACCAACTACCTACTTTTCGAAGTGTTATAGGACAAAAAAAAAAATTAGGGTCAGTACTTACAGAGATATGAGGCCGAGAAATTGGCACTGGATACTCACGTGACAGCAACATGGAGTCCTGCCGCTTGCAGAAGTGTTGCCGATATACTTTTTTTTTCTATTTTCACATTATTTTATATAATTTTTATGTTCTGATAATTACAATTTATAGTAGTTCTTGTCATTTTATAACCAATCTTTGTTCTGTCACTAGTATTAGGTACTGAAACTGTACTCACAAACACACTGACAGGTGGACATTTACACCTGCCTTGGTCATTTACTATAGTCTTGGAATATATACAAAATATTTATAGATCCCAGCAATGTTTTGGATATGTGGAAGTATATGAGGAGGAGGGAGGAGAGGAGGAGTAGTAGTAGGAGAAGAGAGAAGAGGAGGAGGAAAGAGGAGGAGGAGAGAGAAGGAAGAGGAGGAGGAGGGGAAGAGAAGGAAAGGAGGAGAGGAAGAGGAGAAGAAGAGGAAGGAAGAGGAGAGAGGAGGAAGAAGAGGAGAAGAGGAGGAGAGGAGGAGAGAGGAGGAAGAGGGAAGAAAGGAGGAGGAAGAAGGAGGAGAAGAGGAGGAAGAGAGGAGGAGAGAGGAAGAGGAGAGGGAGAGGAGGAGAGAAGGAGGAGGAGGGAAGAGGAGGAGGAGAGGAAAGAGGAGGGAGGAGGAAGGAGGAGGAGGAAGAGGAGGAGGAGGAAGAGAGAGGAGGAAGAGAAGGAGGAGAAGAAGGAGGAAGAGAGAGGAGGAGAGGAGGAGAGGAAGAGGAGGAGGGGAGAAGGAGGAGAGAGGAGGAAGAGGAGGAGGAGGAGAGGAGGGAGGAGAAGAAGAGGAGGAGGGGGAAGAGGGGGAAGAGGAAGGAAGGGAGGAAGAGAGGAGGGGGAAGGGAGGGAAAAAGGTGAGGAGGAAGAGGGAGGAGGAAGAGGAGGAAGAGAGGAGGGGGAAGAGGAGGAGGAGGGGGAGGAGGAAGAGAGAGGAGGAAGAGAAGTGGAGAATGAAGAGAGGCGGAGGTGGCGAGGAGTGGAGAGGAGAGGAGGAGGGAGAGTAGAGAGCGGGAGAGGGAGGGCGGGGGGAGGAGAAGAGGTGTTGGGGAGGGGGAGGGCGGGGAGAGGGAGGAGGATGGAGGAGAAAAGTGGATAGAAGGAGGAAGAGATGGAGGAGGAGAGCAGGAGGGGAGAGAATGGAGGAGGAAGAGAGGAGGAGGAAGAGAAGGGGGAAAAAAGGGAGGAAGAGAATGGATGAGAAAGGGGGGGGGGAAACTTTATACGTTGGAACATCAATATCGAACTTTCTTCAGTCAGAGGGTGTCAGTGCCTTTACGAATATTTTATTCCCATCGTAATATATTAATTTAGTCTCATATCAGCCCTCAAAATACACTTATAAGCACTTACAAATACACTTACATAATTGGTTGTGTTGGGAGCATTCGATTTTTGAGGTCCACGTATAATAATACGTAAGTAAAAAAAGTTCCTTGAAGCATGAAAAACAAAGTCCCCCCTGACGTGACAGAAAGATGAAAACATCTGAAAAGAGTGAGTTTGATGAGATACTCGGGGGTGCAGTGAAAACTTGATAAAAAAAGATTAGAGGTGATTTTTGAAGAGCATGGCACTCGTTTTTTTTGCTGGTACAAAAACATCCCTGTCTATTTGTCTGCTTTAAGCTCCCTGTCTATCTGTCTACCCCCATCTAGCCTTTGTTCAGGGGAGACCCACAAGACTGGGTATCACCTTATCATCTTAAAGAAGAGTATAGCACTTTGTCGGGGTTTTTTTGGGTTATCCTGGGAAATTTAAACTATGTACGTGGCCCCGGTTAACGATTTTTTTTCACTCCAAAAGTATGTTAGGTGCCAGTACTGACTAAATTTTTTCCCCATAAGAAATTTTGTGAAGTAGATTAGCCCTTTTTAAACCCCCCCAAAAAACACGTAAAAACGCATTTACTAAATCATTACAAAAATTGGTCACATCGGAGGTAAATCGTTATGGGGGGGTCCACTGTAACTTGTATTTTGTGTACCTGTGAGCAAGATAGACAACAACATAGACAGAGATAGACATAGATCAGACAGACAAACGGAGAAAGCCAGGCTGCCAGCAGTGGCCCGCCACCAGCAGCAGAATTTTTTTCTTTATTTGGGGAGGGTTATAAGATATCCGAAAGGGTGTTGCACAAATGTTGCCATGGTTATTACAAGATATTTTTAATTTTTCGGGCCCCTTATGGCCCCATCCCCCTAAACCATAACCGGGGAAAATCACTTTCCCCTTAAAATGGGAATTAAACTACTGAAATCAAGTGAATCCCAGGTGTTTTCTGCGCTGTTTGCTCTAGCTGGCGCTCATTTGAATTTGGGGCTCCCCCAAAGGGACAAGTGGTCCCCGATTGTTTTAATACTGTGCACACTGAGGGGGTTTTGGACCCATTCTATGTGACAAGCATCTCAGGCAATTGTGCCAAATTTGAAGGCAGGAAAAAAAAACTATATTGTTTGGGGCACTATGGTAAAAAAGTATATATACTTTGATGTTTCAGGTTAAATGTTAGGGGTGACTAGATATGCCCGAATACTGTGTGGGGTTTCCCTCCCAAAAACCAAAAATTCCCATCCCGCTTTAAAGTGCAGGGGAAGTACTTCCCCCAAAGTTTTTTTTTTTTTTTTTTTTTTAAAAAACATTGGATTTCCCCCCTGAGGGAGGTGCTGGTTTTCAATGTTGGTTTTCAGAGTATAAGGGGGTGTAAAGGTAGAAAGTGAACACAGACAGAGTAAGGTGATAAGACTATCAAACAATTTAGATAAAGAAAAATTGGATATCACATTGGAGGGAGGGAGTACGGAAGAAGTAAATGTTTTCAGGAATTTGGGATTGCTTTTCAGCAGTGGGTTTATGAAGGGTGGATTTTTCCACAGAATTGGTGAAGAAAAAAAGGTGAGTGGTGCTTTGAGGTATTTGTGGAGACAAAAAAAAAAAAAAAATTATCCAAGGAAGCAAAGAAAGGACTGGATTAGAGTATAGGGGTACCAACACTCTTATATGAGTGTGAAGCATGGGTTGTAAGTATTGAAGCAAGGAGGAGGCTGGAGGCAGTGGAGATGTCATGTCTAAGGGACCTGTGTGGTGTAAATATTATGCAGAGAATTCATGGTGTGGAAATTAGGAGATGTGGAGTTACTAAAAGTATTTGCCAGAGGGCTGAAGAGGGGTTGTTGAGGTGGCTTGGTCATTTAGAGAGAATGGATCAAAGTAGAATGACTTGGAGAGCATATAAATCTGTAGGGGAAGGAAGGTGGGATAGGGGTTTTCCCAAGAAAGATTGGAGGGAGGGGGTAAAGGTTTTGTGGGTGAGGGGCTTGGACTTCCAGCAAGCATGCGTGTGTTAGACAGGAGTGAATGGAGACGGATGGTTTTTGGGACCTGACAAGCTGTTGGAGTATTAGTAGGGTGATATTTTGTGAAGGGATTCAGGGAAACCGGTTAGCCGGGCTTCAGTCCTGGAGGTGGGAAGTACAATGCCTGCACTTTAAAGGAGGTGTTTATGATACTGGCTGTTTGGAGGGACATCTAAACTGTCATATCTGAGTGTCTCTGCAAAGACAGTAATTATGTATGATGGTGAAAGTGTTGAATGATGAAAAAAATTTTTTCTTTCTTTCTTTTTGGGTCACCCTCCCTCGGTGGGAAAAGGCCAACATGTTAAAAAAGGCTAAAAGAGATTTCTGAATATTTTGAGAAACTAACTTACCTGGAAGTGTGATAACCAGGGACCCACAAGTTTAGTTGTTAAAAAATTCATTCATGAAATTTTCTTACTATTTTACAACAAAGAAAAATCAACAATAAGATCTAGCTTAATCTAACCTTTAATATCCTTCTCTTTTCTCTCAATCTGTTGCTTATGTCCTTTGATACTGGTGTCGAGTTGTGTCTTTCTCTTGTTTAATTTATCCATATCTCTCCGCAGCTCTGATATGCGGCTCTTCTATAATGCACATTTCAGTAAAATTATTGAAGTCTGCGGAGCTATATCTCAAGAACAGCTAAGTTAAAAAGAATTGTGAAAAAAATTATACACAAGTTGATATATATATATCAAGAGACAAATCACTTAGTGGTTGCTGTAGAATAATACTGTATAATGAATAGGTGCCACCAATGTACATACAGTATTTTCACTTAGCATAAACAATTATGCACAGTAATAGTGCCATGTACAATGGCAGTTTCTAAAGTTAACTTACCAAATTAACTGTGCAAGCTTCCACTTTATTTTTTAAGTTATCTTCAGGAACCTCACCAAGCAGATGCTCCAGTTCATCAATATATTTACGCTTCCTAAAGAAAAGGAAAATCAGTGTTTCACATTCCCGAGTTCATTAAAAACGTATTTATTTTTAACATACTAGCTGTTGTACACTGAGGTGGGGTAACACCTTCCCCCCCTACAAAAAAAAAAAAAAAAAAAAAAAAAAAAAAAAAAAAAAAAAAAAGGAAATATATTCACCATTATTTGTACAATTGCTATCTTGTGCCAAAAGTGTGTTGACATCAAAATTCAGATGACCCTGTAAACTGCAAAATCCTCACCCCTCCTTTAGAGGAAAGACACTGTACTTCCCACTTCCAGGAATCAAGTCTACTAACTGGTTACCCTTCATAAATGTTGTCTTGCTCACACCCAAAGCCATAAAAACAACCTGTCCCCACTCTGTTCTAACATACTCACAAAAACCTGTTGGATGTTCAACACCCTAACACTCAAAAACTTCCTTTGCCCTCTCCCTCCATCCCATCCTGGGTAACCCCTACCCCTCCATCCATTCCAGATTTATATACTCTCTTAGTCATCCTTCGGATCAACAAAAATCACAAAATTAAAACTACAGCAATGATATAATGTACAGGGACAACAACCTGCAGACAGCATGTGAGGCCACCCCATCTCTGGTATCAAAAATATCCTCTACTTTCAGGCAAGGCACCAGCAATATGATCACAGTCACAAGAGCTAGGAAATTACTGCTTTTCTTTGAGATCATGGGACTGGCAGATCCAAATTCTCAAGTATCTCTACCCAGTGCACAAGAATTTGGATGGCATCTACAAAATTAAATGAGCAAACTTTAAAAAAACTGCTCATTTAGAATAATATAAAAAAGCTCAATGTAATTCAGCCACAAAATTAAATCACAATATTACAGATGGAACAATTCATTAACCCTTTCACTGTCCAGACCTCTTAAAATTATTATTACTCTTAGTGTCACTTAAAAAAAAAAAACACTTTTTCTTCAGAAAAGGTAGATTCTTTATCTGAAGATAATGACACCAAAATTACAAAATATGACGAAAACTTACGGAATTATGCAAGTGTAAAGTTAGCAGTCTCGGTGCAATTTACTCGCTGGCAATTTTGCCCACTTCAAGTCCTATTTAAAGCAAATTCCATTGCTCCACTGGACCAAATTCTTAGCTATTTAGTTAGTAGGCCTTCTGTTCTATCGATTAAGCACAAAAGACAACCCATTCAACTATTTCAATTATAGATGCCCCCCCAACTTACTAACAAGTTACATTCCAGAAGGCTGTTCATATCCTGAATTGTTTTTAAGTCATTATTTTGCCATTTTTCTATTGCTACGATTATTATTAGTGTTTTTAATATTGTCATTACTATTATTGTTTTTCTCTCTGTGCTGTTGCTCGTTAAAAACTTAAAGACAATACGTACAGTATCAGTAATGTATGGTTCTTAATACTAAAGCATATTTTAATAATAAATATTGTAATAAAAAACTTCTTTAACTTTAACCAGCAGTATGTTCGTATGTCTGAATAGTTTTAACTACAATGTTCATAAGCAGGGTAGCATCTGTACTCTAAAAAAAAGTGCATAGAAATCTGTAATTACATCAATTTTGGAGAGAGGGGCTTGGAAATACAGGAGGCATGTGTGAGTGTGCTAGACAGGAGTGAATGAAGATGAATAGTTTTTGGGACTTGAGCTGTTGGAGTGTAAGCAGGGCAATATTTTGTAAAGAGATTCAGGAAGGCTGGTTGATCAGACTTGAGTCCTGGAGGTGCGAAGTACAATGCCTGCATTTTAAAGGAGGGGTTTGGGATATTGGCAGTTTGGAGGGACCTCTAAACTGCCGTATCTGAGTGCCTCTGCAAAGACAGTGATCATGTATGAGTGATGGTGAGTGTTGAATGATGAAAGTTTTTTTTTTTTTCTTTCTTTTTGGGTCACCCTGCCTCAGTGGGAAATGGCCAATGTGTTAAAGGAAAAAAACTAATAATAATAATAATAATAATAATAATAACAATAATAATAAATCTTTATTTCTAAAAGTGAAACTGGGTGTTGCTGTAAGTTCTGCAACTCGGTTCTATCTGGAGACTTTCCAAAGTTTCAAGTGTTTTAAGTTATTACGTTGTAAGGTTTCTACTTTAAATGAACTCTAATGAGAAAGTGTTACAGGAAATTAAAAGTGCTACACCAATGAACACTAAAGCTATAAGAAAAGGTGATAACTTTATTGATGACATGGAAAAACTTTTACTGGTGTGGACTGATGATCAAACTAGTCACAAGCTGAGCCATTATGAAATCCAAGGCCCTAAGTCTCTTCAATTCTATGAAGGCTGAGAGAGATGAGGAAGCTGCTGAACATAAATTTGAAGCTAGCAGAGGTTGGCTTCATCATCTAACTTCCTACAATAAATACTACTCACCTCTCACCCTACAGTAAGGTAAAAAATATTTTAAAGGTAAGCAATAAATGTACTATATAAACATTTTACTTTTTTATTCTTTTCTAGGTCTAGTTCTATTACTAATTTAATATATGATAGTGTAAACATGTTATCAGGCATTTACAGTGGACCCTTAACTAACAGCGGCATTGTCTAAAGCCAAAATCGACTAACGGCTCTCTTTGGCATCAGAATATTGGCTCTACCAACGCTAAAAAACTCGTCTAAAAGCTTTCATCCCGAACGTGTCCATGCACCCTGAGCAGGCCCAGCCACTCCAAGACTCCGTGTACAGCCAGTGTGCCATTGTTTACAAGCCATTGCAGTCGATTCCATGTGTACATGCGATATATTTTGTATTATTCCATTATTTTTAGTGCTTGTAACTGCTAAATAAGCCACCATGGGTCCAAAGAAAGTTTCTAGTGCCAGCCCTGTGATAAAGAAGGAAAGAAACAAAATAATTCAAGAAAAAACTTGTAGCAAAGTACCAAAGTAGAGGAGGAAGAGAGAGGGGTGAATGTGCCTTCTGCAGTGATTCAGTGATTCTATGATATGTACAATACAAAAGCAGCAGGTATCGATAAAGGCTATAGTGTCAGCCAGCGATAAAGTGTAGAATTAACAGTGTAGCAAGTAAGTTAAGCGAGTAAGTGATAGAAAAAAAGACACGAAAGTAACTCTCCAATGCTGTTGGATGTGTGTATATCCGCTGAACATACGCCAGCCTGCTATCTTCCACTGCCCTAAACCTCTGCCAGCATCTCCTCCATCAAACCAACTAATTAAACTAACATTTCCTCCAAGGTAAGTGTAAATACAAAAGTGTAAGCATAAAAGTAAATATATTACGTGTAAATATAAAAGGACCGCAATGGAAATATGTAAGTCACTCTGACTCTTTTGGGTTATCCTAGGTACTTTATACATATGCTGCTATGTATGATAATCTATGTACATAACTGTATTTGTGTATACCTGAATAAACTTACTTATTTATAAATTAAAATGTAAATATTTCTTATTTATAAATTACATACATTGTTTAACCCCTAAACGGTCCAAACATATATATATACGTTCTTATGCGTAGCGCCCCAAACGTATATATACATTTTAATTTTCCTGCCTCCAAATTCGGCACGATTGCCCTGAGATGCCGGGGTCACTATGAAGGGTTTTAAAACACTCGGTGTGCCCCCTTTTAAAAAAACTGAGACCAATTATTACGTGGGAGCCCCATTAAACTGAGCACCACTGACAAACAGTTGCGGCAACACCAAGGATTCACTGAGTAGTGTATATTTAAAACTCCTCTTTTAAAGGGAAAGTGATGTTAAACCCAAGGGTTGGGGTCTTTGATCCTATCTCGTACTCTGTTCCCGTCCTTTCAATTGCTCTTTCAATTGTCTCTTTCAATCGTCTTTTTAAATTCCTTTCAATCGTCTTTTTCAATCTGTCTCTTTCAATCTGTCCTTTCAATCGTCTCTTTCAATCTGTCTCTTCAATCTGTCTCTTTCAATCTGCCTTTTCAATTGCTCTTCAATCTGTCTCTTAAATCTGTCTTTTTAAAATTTCTTTTCAATCTGTCTCTTTAAATCTGTCTCTTTCAATCGTCCTTTCAATCTGTCTTTTTCAATCTGTCTTTTTAATTTTCTTTTCAACTGTCTCTTTCAATCTGTTTTTTTTAAATCTGCTCTTCAATCTGTCTTTTTAAATCTGTCTTTTTCAATCTTTTTTTTTTTTTTTTTTTTATTATCACCCCGGCCCGATTCCCCAAGGCAGGGGGGCCCGAAAAAAGAAAAATTTTCACATCATTCACTCCATCACTGTCTTGCCAGAAGGGGTTTACCTACAGTTTTTAAAACGCAACATTAACCCCCCTCCTTCAGATGCAGGCACTGTATTCCCCACCCGGGACTCAAGTCCGGCCTCCCGTTTCCCCTAAATCCCTTCAAAAATGTTACTTTCTCCACCCCAACGCACTAAAGTATTAAAACCCCATTTGTCTCATTCACTCCTATCAACACCTCAAGCATGCCTGCGGAACCAACCCTCAAAACAAAAACCCCCTTTTACCCCCTCCTCCAACCCTTCCCTAGGCCGCCCCCTACCCCCCCTTTTTCCCATACGACTATACATTTTGAAGTCATTCTGTTTGCTCCATTCCTCTACTTTTCCGAACCACCTAAAACCCCCTTCCCTCACCTCTGGACAACATTTTTGGAAATCCCGCCCCTCCAACTTCCAAATACGAATTCTCTGCATAATTCACACCACACATTGCCCTCAGACTGACATCCCCACTCCCCCAGCTTTCCTCGCTCAACTTTATCACCCCCGCTTCAACCCTTAAAAGCGTTGGTAAAAATAACTCTCATACATTCCCCCTTTGCCTCCCAAAGGGCAAAGTTCTTTGTCTCCACAGACTCCCAAGTGCACCCTCACTCTTTTTCCTCACAATTCTAATTCACCCCATCTTTTAAGACCCCTCCCCTGACACGTCCCCTCCCAAATATCTGAAACTTCACCTCCCCATACTCCTCCCCCAATCTGTATTCAATCTTTTACACCTAATC